GACCCGCCCTCCATCCGCGGAGCTCCTGCAAATTTGCAGGACGGGTGTGCGCGGCGCTGAAGCGGGACGAGCATTTTGAAAACGGCCCGGACTCCGTCCGTGGAGCTCCAGCAACCCTCTGAAGCGAACGCGCGCGGCACTAAGGCGAGGGGCAAATTCTGAAAAGGGCCCGCCCTCCACCCTCGAAGCTCGTTCCAGCTGTTGACGCGCATGTGCGCTTTGAGAAGGCGATGAACAGACTTTGGAAAAAAGGACTCGCCCTCCGTCCAAGAAACTTCCCAGCAGAGCTTTGAAGACAAATGTGAGCGGCGCTGAGGCGGGAAGCACACTATGAAAAGAACCCCCGCTGCATCCGTCAAACCCTCGCAAGCTTTCGGGGCGAATGTGCGCGGCGCTCAGGCAAAAAACACATTCGGAAAAAAAGCAACCCTCCATCCGCGAAGATATTCCAGACTTCTGAAACGAAAGCGCGCGGAACTAAAGCGAGAGCCAATGTTTTCCATCCGTGAAGGCACTGCGAACTTCTAAGACGAGTGTGCGTGGCACTACGGCGAGAGCCACATTTTGAAACGGATCCGCCATCTGTCAAGCCCTTTCGAACGTTTAAAACGCATGCGCGAGACGCTAAGGCGAGAGCCACATTATGAACTGAACCCGCCGTCAATCCCTAAAGCTGTTGCATTTTTTTTAAAGACGGCGCGCGACGCTAAATCGATAACCGCATTCTGAAAAGGACCCACTCTCCATCCGTGAAGCTCTCGCAAACATGTAAAGCGAATGCGCGCGGCGCTCGGGCGAGAACCACATTCTGAAAAGGACCCGCCCTCCATCCGCGAATATTTCGCCAATTTTGAACACGAGAGCGCGCGGCGCTGAAGCGAGATTCGCATTTCCGAACGGGCCCGCCCTCCATCTGTGAAGCTCCCTTATAATTTCTGTATGAGGAAGTGCGCAGCGCTACGGCGAGGGTCACACTCTGAAAAAAAAGCGCCCCTCACCCGTGAAGCCCTTGCAAGCTTTGGCGACGAGCGCCTGGCACTACGGCGACGCCATGTCTTGAGAAGCACCCGCCCTACATCCGTCGAGCCCTGCCGAACTGTTCAAACGAATGCGCGCGACGCTAAAGCAACCCCCACACGATGGACGGAACCCGCCCTCCACCCGTGAATAGGTTGCAAAATTTTGAAATGACTGCGCGCGACGCTCGCTCGATAACCACATTCTGAATCAAAATATTCGCCCTCCATCCGTAAAGCCCTTGCACACTTTGAAAACGAATGTGCGCGACGCTTCGGCGATAGCCACGTTCTGAAAACAAAAAACGCCCCCCATCCGTGAAAAACTTGCAAGCTTTGATGGCAAATGTGCGCGACGCTATGGCGAGAACCAAATTCCGAAAGAGAGCCCGCCATCCATCCGTGAAGCTGTGGTAACCTTTCACACGAATATGCGCGACGCTGGGAATGGAGCCACATTTTCGCTGGAAGGGGGAATGTCACCTCCAGGGGCGGCAGTGAATACTTTCGCCGGGAGGAGGGGGTTGTCGACAATGGCTTCCCAGGATTGTTATATGAGTTGTATTCTTGATTTGCCATGCGGTTCCAATTCTTACCGGAGTAGATCTCTAAAACTATAGCACAGCTGTATCTCCAAGGGGAAGTCCAAAATGAATCATACGTAGCACCCCGCAGATGCGGATAAGAGTGAGGGGGCGGTGGGGACGTCGGCAGTTTGCGAGACTCTGGAGAAGCCCGCCGCAGGCGCCAAAGTTTCACAAGTTATACAGCGAGCCCGCCGCAGGCGCCGATTTTGTTAAACCAATGTGGGTAGGTCGCGGGTGGGTCGCAAATGGGTGGCGGGTGTAGAGGGCAGAACATCCACCTTATAAGAATCACCCCGACAAGCGAAGCCGTTTAGCAAACGCACAAGGAATGAATCGAACAAGGCAGGGCTGTTTAGTAAACGCCCAAGGCCGTTTATAAACGTCAACTGTCGGGTCCAGGTGGTTTTTCCTCCCTTGATTGAGGGTGGGTCGCGGGGTGGGTCGCGGGTGGGTCGCGGGGTGGGTCGCGGGTGGGTCGCGGGATGGGTCGCGGGGTGGGTCGCGGGTGGGTCGCGGGTGGGTAGCGGGTGGATCGCGGGGTGGGTCGCTGGTGGGTCGCGGGTTGGGTCGCGAGTGGGTCGCGGGGTGGGTCGCGGGGTGGGTCGCGGGGTGGGTCGCGGGTGGGTCGCGGGTGGGACGACGACAACAAACAGCAGCAACAACAACAGCAAAAACAGCAACAACAACAACAACAACAACAACAACAACCACGCAACATGGAGAATTCTCACCACGAATTCCCGATTCAGCCACGCACCCAGGACCAATGAATGACGGGTCATCCCCCTCACTCTGATTTGTCTTGCTTTGGGTCCCTTCAGAAGCCAAAGAGGCGAGGTCTACAACTGCGAGGCGGGGATGCACGTTGTCCTCGCAATCGTTGCCGTGGTGCAATGCGGTATGCGTGGACGGGCGGCGGCTACCACAGATCATGGAGTGTCTGCCAACGTCGCGGCTGGTCTCCTACCAACCAGCACTGGCCTGTGCACGAGGGGGCTGCCTCTGCGACCTCCCTCGGCACACCTGGCGCGTACAGATATGATCTGGCACCGACGCCCACCGCCGCACCTGGCGTGTCCTACTTTGTTTTGTACAAGTATGATCTGGCATGTACGTAAACGTACCCACTGTCTGGGGAACCGACGTCCTGAGACTCCAGGAGAGTGGATATGGACATGCTTCGGCCCCGTTTGCCGAGGTCACCGAATATGGATCCCCAAGGCGGTGGTTATGGACAAATCCCCACCTCGGAAGCATCAGGTGGGACCCCAAGGATCTTCCAAGAAGCCCCCAAGACGCCCCCAAACGGCCCCACGAACCTACCAATACACCCACGGAATTGTATAGGAATGGCGCGTTGTTGCTATGCTCGTCGGAATTTGAGCTTGGTGTTGCCCTGTGCTGGCACGCGGTGAATGCCAATTGCCCTCGTGTACATTCGCACGCTCGTTCTTGCGCTGAAGCTGGGGGGGGTAGGGGGCGCATCCGTCCCCCGTGGCACTGGCAGCGCTCCGGGGCGGGCAGGCATCTTGCTCCTCCTCCTCTCCTCCTCCTCCTCCTCCTCCTCCTCCTCCTCCTCCTCCTCCTCGTCCCTTCTTCATACTTCCTTTTCTTCTACCTTACATAATTTTGAGGGGAGTTTCAGTGAAAATTCTGGTGGAGCGCAGGCGCATACCTGATCCGCGCTCCTCTGTTCCGTCCCGCGCTCACTTTCCTCCCTTGGCAGAGAGCCCAGCCCAATGAAGGCTTTGGTGGGGCGTGGGCGCGTACTCTGCATAAAAGGGGTCGTCTTCCTTCCCACACGAGAAATTCAGCTGGCGCGGGCGCACTCTTGGCACGCATGATGGCCGATTCCTGTAGAATTCCCATCCTCCACTGGGAGCCCAAAGACTGAGGCCCAACGAGGCGCGGGCGCAAACGTGACACAAGCATTATGGCCCACTCCTCGCCCCTGCGAGACAAGATCTATCGAAATCGACGCCTGCGCATGTGAACGGCGAACACGGATGAATCAAGCAACAACGAACCCGCAAACTGAAGGCCAGGAAACACTCACAAGCAGGCAGGGCCAAACACGCACGCGAGCAAGCGGGATGAACACCATTCTGGACAGAACTACCGCGATCTTCAGGCTCTCATCGCTCCAGCTGCGGAGAGACGACCCCGTCCTCAAAGAGCCACAAACATCGCCAAACTGCCAATCATCAGCATGCTTACTTGCGGCGTCCCCTGCCCCGCCCAGCCGCGCCAAGTGGTCGATGATGATGAACTTGGCCGCGATGCGGTCCCACAAGCCTCGCGCCATGGCGACGCCGAAGTCGGGCCACGTGACGTTGCCAGCCTTCCACGAAAAGGTAGCTACCCACCCGCGGTCGCTCGGACCCTCGGGACGACTGAAGCTCGGCTCGCTACATGGAGTTTCGTCGCCCCCCCCCACACCCCCCCACCGACCCCCCCCCCCCCACACACACCACACACACACACACACACACACAAACACAAACACAAACACAAACACACACACACACAACACGCACGCACGCACGCACGTACGCACGAACGCACACACGCAGACACACATTCACCTTCACATCCACACACACACACATGCACGTACTTTTTGGCGTCGCGGCCCCGCGCGCGGCGACGGGGCGTAGAAAGGCAAGTCCGAGTGGCGGAGCGCTCGCGACTACACACACACACACACACACACACTGAACAACACACACACACACACACACACACGTTGCGTGTCAAGCTGTGTTGACCGCGGCAGGAGTCTCATCGCTGAGCTGGTCTGCCTGGCCAACTGGGCAGCAGCTGCCTTTTGCCGCGTCGCCACCCAATGCAATCACTAGAAATCGGGCATGCGCGCGTCCGTCACGATCCAACGCTGCGCCATTCGGCAAGCGACGGTGCTTTATCCCATCCGCAGCACCTATATTCGAGAATTGTTCGAACCTGGCTCGGGGACCTTGTTTCTGCCAGAGTAGCGGGGCTGGGCTGCAGACCCCCTATATTTAGAAACTAATTGTCTTTTCGGCGACCTCATTTGCGGACTGGAGCCCCGACAATGATGGGAAATAACTGTTCATCCACGGCACACGCCGTAAAATAAGGACGACGACGACTACGATTACGATGTGACTACGAATGCGACGACGCTTGTGACTACGATTACGACTACAAGCACGACTACGATTACGACTGCTATCGCAACTACAATCACGATTGCAATCACGAATGCAACCGCGACTACAATCACGACTACAACCGCGCGCAAATGATTCCCAGTACAATCCTCATGAGAGGATGCTCACGAAGCCTCTCGCGTGTAGGGTAGGCAGCCCACAATGGACTATTCCCTGGGAGAGCCCCCCCCAACATTACCCCGCCCGCCCGACAATAGAGGGACAATAATCTCCGCCGCGACGACGACGATGACGACTACGATTCAGACCACAACCTCGACTACGATTACGGCTACAATCGCGCAATCGCGATTACAATCACGAGTATAAACATGACTAAAATCACTACTACAACCGCTGACAACTGATTCCCATTGCAATCCTCAGGAGGAGATGCTCACAAATCCTCTCGCGTGTAGGGTGCCCACAATGTTTATTCCCTGGAGGAAACAAGGGGCACGCGTGCCAAGGATCGTACAATCACGGATGCGGGACAATGGGGGATGGAGATGGCGCCAACCTGTGGTAGTTTCAGGGAAGCGCGGGAGTGCTGCGACACGCTTGCGAGTGACCATGACAGGTGAGCGACGAATAGCAGCATGGCCGTGTGGACGCAGCGCCAGGTTCGATCGAAAGGCGATCTTAATATGACGGGAGAGGTCTGCGAGGCTCCAACGGCGTGTCTTATAATGCAGGCCCCTTGTATGAAGCGAAACGCTTAGTCCCAAGAAGGGGGGCGCGATGGTATGCATAGCCAAGATCCGCCACCGTGTCTTCAGCACGTTGTGGCGTGCCCCATGCTCACGCAGCCCTGAAAAAGGCAGGGGGTTGTAAGGTTCTTGAGGGCCCGGACCCTTGATTCCCCAGGCGGTCGTGCGCGCTCTTGCGCGGGCCTGGTGTGTGTCGCGTGGGCTTTGGGATGCTTTTGGGACGCCACGAGGGCCCGAAGACGGGCCACGAGGGCCCTCAGAGACCCCCAAGCCGGTGGGAAAGGGCCCCGACTCGCCGAACGATCGGTCCAATACGCCCAAGATGGCCTCCAGACGGCCCAAGATGCCCCCAAGACAACCCAAGATGCCTTCAGGAAACCTTCCGAAGGACCCCATAGAGACAAACATGATATATTGATGATAAGTGTTTGAAAGATTGCTCGCTCTTGGGAGCCTCGGTGTGAGGAACTTGTCGCGTCATTGTGAGGTGCACGGGGGGCCACGGTCGGGCAGGGGGGGGGGGGGGGCACGATCGGCCGGTCGGATTAAGCAAACACGGGGAGGGGGGGTAGGGGGGAAAAGGGAGGGCACGGGGAGCAAATGTCGGGAAGGGCAGGGGAAGCACGGTCGGTCGGTCGGAATACGCGGACAGGTGGGGGCCACGGAGGGAATGGGGTGGCACAGGGGGCCAAGGTCTGGCAAGGGAGGAGAGCACGGGTGGTCACGGTCGGGCAGGGGGGGGGGGCACGGTCGCTCGGTCGGAATAAGCGTAGGGGGTAGGCATGGGGGGAAAGAGGGGTGGAAGCACGGAGGGCCACGGTCGAGCAAGGGGGGGGGAATGAGCGATCGGTCGGAGTAAGCAGAAGGGGGGGGGGGCGGCGGGGCCCGGGGGGAAAGAAGGGGCACGGGGGGCCACAATCGAGCAAGCGGGGAGCGGGCACAGGCGATCGGTCGGAATAAGCAGAGGAGGGGGGCACGGGGGGAAGGCGGGGCACGGGGGAACGCGGTCAAGCAGGGAGAGGAGATACGGTCGGTCAGTCGGAGTAAACAGTTTGGGGGGCCGCAGAGGAAAGGGGGGGCACGGGGGGCCACGGACGGGGTGGGTTGGCGCACGGTCGGTCGGTGGGGGGACACGAGGGCCACGGTCGGGCGGGGGGGGCACGGACGGTCGGTCGGAATGAGCAAAGGGGAAAGGCACGGTCGGGCAACGGGGGGGCACGGGGAGCCACGGTCGCGCGGGAGGGGCACGGTCGGTCGGAATGGGCAGGGGGAAGGGGCACAGGGGGGGAAGGGGCCACGGTCGAGCAGAATGGGGGACACGGTCGGTCGGTCGGCCGGAATAAGCAGAGGGAAAGGGCACAGAGAGAAAAGAGGGGGCGGGGAGCCACGGCCGGGCAGAGGGGGGAGAGGGCACGATCGGTCGGTCGGAATAAGCAGAGGGAGGGGGGCACAAGAAGAAGGGTGGGAAACACGGGGGGGCGCGGTCCGGCAAGAGAGAGGGGGGGGGCACGGTCGGCCGGCTGGATTAAGCAAAAGGCGGGGGCCACAGGGGGGAAGGGCGGAAACATAGCAGGAGAAAAGCGCGTGGTCTGTCGGTCGGAATAAGGAGAGGGGGCGCACAAAGGGGGGGGGGGGGCACGGGGGGCCACGGTCGGGCAGGGGGGGGGCATGGTCGGTCGGTAGGAATTAGCTGAGTGGGTGGCACGGGAGATGGGGGGGGGAGGGGGGGGGGGGGGGGGGCAAGCACGAGGGGCCACGGTCGGGCGGGAGGGGGGGGGAGGGGGTCGGTCGGTCGGAATAAGCAGAGGGAGTGGGGAGGGGGGGGGCACGGGGGGCCACGGTCGGGCAGGGGAGGGGCATGGTCGGTAGGTAGGAAGGAATGAGCCGAGGGGGGGGCACGGGAGGGGGGAAGCACAAAGGGCCACGGTCGGGCGGGGGTGGCCCGGTCGGTCGGTCTGAATAAGCAGAAGGGGGGAGCACGAAGGAAAGGGGGGGGGCACGGAGGGCCACGGTCGGGCAAGGTGGGGCACACGGTCGATCGGTCGGAATAAGCAAAGGGGGGCCACAGGGGGGAAGGGGGGGGGGCACGGGGGGTGACGGACGGGCAGTGAGGGGGAGGAGGGCACGGTCGGTCGGTCGGTAAGCAAGGGGGGGGCCACAGGGGTGAAGGGGGATGGGGGCACAGAGGGCCAAAGTCGGGCAGAGGGGGGGAACACGGTCGGCCGGTCGGAATAAGCAGAGGGGATGGGGGGGCACAGGGGGAAGGGGGGGTGCATGGGGTGTAATTGTCGGGCGGGGGAGCGGGGGGGGGCGGGGGGCACGGTCGGCCGGTCGGAAAAAAACAGAAGGGGGGGCACGGGGGGAAAGGGGGGACACGGGGGCCACGGTCGGGCAGGGGGGGTGGGGGCACGGCCCTTGAGACTGCTATGACAGCGACGACAGGCACACACGCCAACCAGCCTTTACGCCACTGCCACCTAGCCCACAACACGACATGCACTGTCCTCCGACGTGGACCGCTCTCATCAGCGACGAGCCCGAATTCAATAATTACAGCGGTCTACTGCAACGATGAAGAGAACAGATACAAGCACCGAGTTCCAGGCCACCACCACCTGATCGACAATTGGCAGCGACCTGGCACCCCACACAATCCCTCATCCACCACTACGACCACAGCCGCATTCAACCCCACCAGTACGAACACATTGCCAGCATACCCATGCCACAGCAGATCACAACGACAGGCACGAGACCAACAGACCAGCTCCCACCTCCGCCAGCACCGCAAAGAAGCTCAAATAAAACACACAATCGGCAACAACTTAGGCACGTTGCAAGCAAAATGCGATTCCGACGACTACTTCCGCCTACACGTAGCAATCAATAACCAATACATCCACGACAAGATGCTCAGACCAAAGGATCCGCCTCCGCACCAGTACTGGCCTGCGGCACTCACCTGAATATATCAATGACTATTAACGGTCCTTGGAGCTACATGGACAGAAGACCTACCGCGCAAAGCACCATTGCTCAACGAAATCAGCCGCCCGCACGATACCCTGACACAAATCGACCAGCACGACACAAACAGCAGCATACGATCGAATACCACCGAGGACAACACCAACCACCCGACCAACTCCGACACTGACCAACATGAAACGCAACACAAACCATCCTGTGCACCGACGCCGGCACTCCTACCACCCCCCAGACTCAGCATACCGATTGTATTCCCTCCGCCCAGCGCACCCACCGCCAAACACGGATGGCTTTCCGATACGCCCCCACACCAACGTACAGCGCAGACACAAGCGACTACCCGTGCCTACCGGCCATTCACAGAAGGCACCACCATTCATCCACGATGGCCAAACTGGCTCAACGCCAACTGCACATAACAGCGAATTTATGTACAACGCAAACGACTGCGA